TTAATGCAATGCAAAAAAATTATGAAATATTTAACATTATTGTATTTGTTTAGTTTATTTGTGTTATTTTAACGAATGATTGAACAATAACAACTTTTTTACGTTCTATGTCTTTTCTTTGGCTTGTTACTAAATCTGCACAAGGATAGAGTTGAAAAGGACTTTCATTCCATTCTTATTTTATTTTTGTGGAATGATAAATAAATGAATATCCACATAAACCAAGTGAGTGATTTTGTATCCATGCAATTCACTATACATATATATATATATATATATAATGAATTGCTTTTATATATATGAAAAAAAACATATCAAATTTTAAGAAAAACTATTTTGGAAAACTGATGCAAAATTCTCTTCTTTTAGTGTTTGAAATCACTGTTAGAGTGGCTTACAGTGCATGTGGTCACACAGATTCAGCCTTGCTTGCATATGGCTCATCACATTTATCCTCTCTCTTCCACGTATCTATTTTTATTTATGTTTTTATTTTTATTTTTCAACTGATTGCAAATAGGATCTCAATTAATGAAATAACTTAGGGATCATTAAGTGGGTTTTTGCACACAATTTACTTCACAGGTGCTGCAGGTCTTACATGATGCATGTTAGTTTTGAGAGTGGAAGTAAACATTTTGCAAAGGTGCTATGAGCCCTCAGCCCCCCAAGTGGGTAGCATTTGAACATTACAGGGCCTTACTAAAATTTGAAATATAGGTAGCATGATGTCTTGACCTTTCCACTTAGGAAAAAAGCAGACTTTTGCTACTATTCATATATTGCACATGCCATCTTGCAGCATATGTGAGAGGAATATCTCCCAAGATGTATCTAAATACTAATAAAAAAGGACTAATAATAACAAATATCAAAATTTCAAAATAAATAAAAATAAATAAAACAACAACAACAACCTTAAGGAAAGCTAATTTTGTACCCTCAATTGTGTGGGGGTGTATTTGGGCAGCCAAAAAGTAGAATTATAAGATTACATTCTTGCAAGGGGACTTAATGGTGAGTGAAATTATGTTGACAAATTGAGAAGAAGCACATTCTTTGAAAGGTGTTGAAGAGTACTACTTTGTATTTTACTTTTTAGAGTATTATGTGCAACTGCTTCTATTGTGTTGTTTTTAAAAAAGGTTGTAAGCTACTATTGTTTTTTAAGTGTCAAACAAAGATATTAAGTTCTTCATTTCACACAATCTTTTTTATCAATTCATTTAAATGTATAAATATATATATATATATATATATGTATTGATACTAAATTTTAAAAATTGGGATGCACACACAAAATCCATTGCGATTAATACTAAAAAAAAAAAGATTAATAAATTTGTTACATTTTATTTAGAAATTATTGTGACCTTAATAATTGGAAATAATTTAGGTTTGTTTACAAATTTATCAGCCTAAGCTACCAAAACAAATGTAGATAACACAAGTAAGAGACAAAATATATTAATTATTTGTAATGCCTATTATGATGCATCAATAGCTTAAATATTAATACTCTTCAAGGCATTAGTTAAATAATTATTCATTAATTTGATTTAATATATAATATAGATGCAAAGAAAAAAATAATAAATAAATAAATGCACTCTAACATTCTAACAAGATCTTAAATGTTACTTTCAAAACAAGGCTTGTCTACAATTATTTTAACAACTTTTTTTGCATTCAATCTTTCTTGATTAAATAGCTCATCAAAGCACAAATGATCCAAATTAGATTTATAGACAATTTTCACATATTCTCTTTTAAATAAATTAAAGCTTAATAATTAATGTTTTTTACATATTTATCATGTTAATACAATAATATATAAATTAAAAATATATTAAATTTTAATATAAAATATATTTATCATAAAAAAATGTAAAAATTAAAAATACATTAAAATTTAAAAAGTCAAAAGAATATATATATACATCCAAAATTAAGGTGACATAATTTTTTTATAATAATATTTTTTATATAAAAATAAAAATAAATAGACATTACTATTGTTAATATAATTTATTCAAATATAACACAACATGTACATTAAAAGACTTTAAAAAATATTTTAAATAATATTTATTGATAAAATAAATCATTAATAAGTATTATATTTTAATGATTATTTTTTATTTATTTTATTACCAACAATTAACTAACAAGTAAGTATATATTTAACCAATCTTCAATCCGATATATTTTTGTCTCTCTATTGTTCTTATAAATATTTTTTTTCAATCTATTAGAGGTCAAAAGTTTATTTTTAAAATATTTATTAAAGTTTTTATAAATATTTATAAAACCATGTACAAATATTACAACAAGCATTAACCTAATCTTTTTATATACATAAGAATATTTATAAACATATGTGTATATATGTTTATATTTGTATTTATAATTTTAAAGAAAAAGTATCATATATATTTATATTTATATTTATATATGTCTTTCAAATAAGTTGAAATATTAAGAATACCCATGTATTCTTGATAATAGCAAATATATCCCTTGTATTTGTGATATACTAGCAAAGGTATCTTTGTTGGTGATGCCTCTACTAAGGTATCACCAACATTCTTTGCTTAGTAGTCATCTTGGACCAAACTTTTTAAATTTATAAATGGACAAATTACTCTTTAAAACAGTTTGGCAAATTGCATACACCATTCTATGTTGCTATCTCTATCACAAATGTTCTTCCGGATGTGATATTTCTGCACACTCTAATGAAAACTAGCTTGTAAGAACCCATGTTGACATCTTCTTTAACAATCTATCACAGTCCTTGTATAGTGTTACTTGTTATAGTTACTGCCACAAATGCAATCCTTTGAACATCAGTGTAGTGTTTATGATAACACTGCAATTTGTGCTTCCATCTCCCAGAGTTCAACCATGAGCTTGATGTTGTCGTGGCCCACATCATGCACATTATGTTCAATTTGTGATTTGACTCTTGCCATGAAACACAATTTGTAGTGTTCTATCAAGATAAGCATTGGAATCTATTGATGAATTGGAAGTAATGAATGTCCTTGACAAATTCAAATCAAATGATTCATTGAAAAAGCAACACATCCTTACCTTGGTTATGACCAAAAAGGTAAAGAAAAGTGTGGAATAGATTTTGTCCACAGGTGAATAAACTTACCTTATCTGACCTTGTTTATGCCTCCAACATTTGTTCTGCCTTGCAATGCTATTATTATGATGGTAAGCGCTACAATAAACATCATATTCAAAGTCATGTGTGTGTGGACAAGAGTAAAGAGAAATAAATGCCTAAGGCTCCAGTGTCTGTGCAATCATGTGGATGCCATCTTCTAGACATGTACATGCTTTTTCATGAAGTTGACAAGAGTATCTATCAATCTCTCTGAGCCAAACGTCAACTCCCAGCTTGCAACATTGTGTCATGGACAACAAGCAACAAAAGAAATTGTTATAGAGAGCAATTATCCAAAAAGAAAATAGCATCAGAGCAAATCTAGGGCAATTCAACAATGGCAACTGAATTGCAAGGCATACTGGGTAAAACTCTACAGAACCATCAATGCTACAGAGGTGCTGATTTGCAACTTGATTGTCCATGTTGCCACAACTACTGCAATCAGTGTGGTTTTAGTAAAGAAAAAATTGACACAGTATTAATTATCACCTTTACTGAATAACTTATATTATATTAGAATTTAACAATATTTTCATGTAAAAACCTTTAGATAACTTATGATTGAATACCACTTGTATATTAAATATAAAATTATAAAATTATAATTTTAAATCATGTCTTTCCTAAAAGATACCTCAAAGTCCAACATACTACTAAATTTTGGTTTTAGTTTGGATTTAGAGATTACTGAAGTAAATGTTTTCTTCTATTGACATTTTTTATGAAGAAAAACAAATAAAAATTGCTGAAGCATAACTAAAAAATTATTGATTTTACTTAGGCTTTAAATTTTTAAATAAAATTAAAAAATCTTATTAAATGCATCACTTAATTTTGTTATCTATCAAAATACAAGCCAATAAGAGCAAAACAATTAATATGCAAAAAAAGTAGAATGTTTTATAATAGAGGAGATTATGCAAGAAACAAATCATGTCTTTGCCTTTACTGTAAACAATTTATTATAGTTTTGTTTATTAGAAATTTGATTTGCAGTGTTACAATTGAGGATTTTTGCATCTATTGCAGTCATCTATTAATTAGAATCATTATGACTTCCACGAATTATTGTTTATTAACATTTTTAAAAGATAAAATTAAACAATGTATTTTCTAAAAATCAAGTCATAAGAAATTTGAGGTAAAATTTTAATACGTCATAATATGTTTTACTAAAATTAGATATACTAAGTTCTTTAGTGATATTTTATAAAATAATAACCAACTTTAAAAGTAGGAATTTTTGCATCAAAGTTTTTTTTTATTTATTTCATAAATTCATTTTTTATTTTATTATTTATTTTTAAAATACTTATAAACATTGTAGTCGAATAAGTCAACTATCAGGGAATCTAATATATATATATATATATATATATTTAATACATAGTTCAAGCTACAAGAAATTATAAGTTCTTAAAAAAATATTTGATTCATAAATATAAATCAAATTTAAAATATGGACAACCAATTTTTATCCTTACTTAAAAAAAACCCCCGAAATCTAAACCAATTAAGACATCAAAACTTTAAGCTTGTGTCTCTTTTATCTTTTTTTTGTGTTTTTGTGTGACAATCAAATTGACAAGCTTTTTTATAAACTTAGAAATATTTTGTTCTTAGTAATGTGCTAACAGTTGTAAAAAAAGAAACACATTGACTCACAAAATATATTCCATAAGATTTTCTTAACCTTGATATATTCCTAAAGTTCATCTTCTATCAAAACTAAATATAAAATATAATGCAATCAACTAATTTTTTTAAAATACACAAACTTTATACATCCTGAGCTAATAGTCAAAAATGCTCTAGAGAATCAAATTATAAACAATGCTAAAATTATTTTTTTCATTTAGAAATACTTTCTACAAATAATAGTTTGTACTACCATTCTTAAGAGTGCATAACTGTGTTGAACAACTTCTTCAACAAACAAAGGCTCAAAAGCTTATTTTGTGTCTTCCTATTTACCCCACAAACAGTGCACTATAATCCTATTAATTAACATTTGCAATTTTTTCTACAAGCCTGAAGTGATGTGGAATGCAATTACATATTCCATCACAGCTGTAACTTGAGTGGAGTTGGTTCGTTGTAGCTGTGATGGATCTTGTGTCGATGTAGATTTTGATGCCTAGGCCTGCACAAACTGATAAGTTGGACAGTGTTGCATAGCTGAGATCACAGTGGGTACAGGTAACTTTACATGCAATTTGATCAATCATAATGACACGCTTTCTGCAGTAGATTAAAATTGTGCAGCAAATACAGAATCGTTCAAGTGATCAACTCATGCTGTAAGATGCTCCATTCAATGTTTGCTCGTCTATCAAGCACTATCAATGCTGTGCATACAATTTGCAAAACAAGTTTGTATTCAGGGGAGACCAAACGAAAATGGATGCGTGCAACTCCTTGCACATAACCAAGTAAAGAGCTAAGGAATGAACAAGCAAGGGTATTTGGGACATAAGCAGAGTTGGAACCCTGGAGATAATCAATACAATCAACAATAAGAATTACAATATCAACTGATTATTGCAAAGCTTTAAAACCATCAAGCTGCATGTCATAAAAACTTGCAGATCGATCCTATCTGAATGCAAAATGAGTAAAAATGCAAAAAGCCGTCTAGTATTGCACCTGGAACTGCCAACGGCATTCAATAGCCAGTCCACCACCAGAGCATCCCCAGACTCCACAATGGGCTTCCTCAAAGTCTCGTGCATCTTCAAATCTATTGCAACATGCAAAATCCTTGCAGAAACTAGTTGTGTCCAAACCAAAATAAACTGAACATTTTTTTTGAAATTCAAATTCCTTTCATACATTCAAAACAAGCTCAATTCGTTACTGAATGACGCATTTTGAATTCAGTAAAAGTATTTTCTGTAGCCCAAGCAAAATCCGCTCTACTTATAATTGATCATCTGTGAGCTGGATTGGTAAACTGGACCTCGAATACACTCAGAATTATCTTCATGGTGTATGTGCAGCATTTGCACCTGCCAAAATGAGTGATAATTGTTCGTTTCCATGATCCGGAACTACCCATTTTGCAGAGCAAGAAACAACGACGAGCCCTCAGCATCTGACGCAAACTCATGCTGCCTCTCCTAAAACCCTTCTCCTGCATTTCCCCCATGCCTAGCTCCGCACAGTGGCAGAAAACTTCCCTACGCCAACATGAATTCCACTCAAGCACAGACCAGACGCAATCCACTTGCTCATCTGCTTCTCATTCCCCCCTCAATTACATCAACAGTTGACGACGCATTCGCATACAAGTGAGGCTATGTCCCCATCCCTTTCCTCGCCACGTCCATCTCTTCCCAACCCAGCGCTGATTCCACCACCTCTCACCCACTCGCAAAAACACCATCCCCTCGACTCTCGCTCCTATGCCTTGTCATCCTGCACAGCACCCACTACAACTCTCCCAAAATGCGACCCAAACAGGATCTGGATGAACCCGCCCTCAGAGTCATTTCGGTAGGACTTCGGAGCGAACCACAGAATTCAACTCGTAAAAAGATTGGGTTTCCGCATACCTGAAGGTCTGTGTAGAGAGGGGGGAGAAAAGAAAAAAGAAAAAAGAAAATCGAATGTCAGTGCTACTTTCTCACGCTACAAATGATGAAATTACTAGTTGCTGTAAACTGAGCGCGCCGGAGAACATGGGAATAGTCTTCAGAATTCACGACCTCGATTAGTGAGCACTTAAAATATTTCGTTGCAAAAGTCAACACCCTTACATCCAGATGCGAAAAATACCCACGAAATAAAAACCAATGAGTGCTCGAATTCCGTTGCAAAAAAACGGAATATAGGTTGTCACCTTATCGCCGGATCCGTCGCCACCTCGCTCTTTGGGACGAGAACTCGCGGCAGAGAAAAAAAGAGATTCCGCCGCCTTCGAATTCGAGCTACATTCGCCGTGTTCCCTTGAGTTTCTCGCTTCCGGTATTCGTCGAGGGGCGATCTACGGCGGAGAATGGCGGGAGTTTATGAGAAAGCTCGCCCACGTGGACGGTTGTGTCAGCATTCCTTTGCTGAGTGTGCGCCTTTTGAACCGACGTGGCAAAGGGGTCTGTCATTGGGTGAGACCCCGGAACGGAGCGCTATTGGTTGGGCGGTGGGAGGAATTATGACGGTGGAGTCAATGTGGATCATGTCGAACTTGGATCTCCTTTTAAGCTTTTGCCTTGTTTCAATAATAATAATAATAATGTACTTAAATTTTCCACTTCTGATGAAATGTAAAAATATGATGAAACATGCAATTCTTTCACAGTATGTGACATGGTGAAATTAGCAACACATCTAGAAAAATGGTTGCTTACTTTGTAATGTAGACATTTTGCAATCAACCTCAATACGATAATATGATGGTAATTGCAATTAGTAGGAAAATATAGTCAAAAGATAGTATTGAATTAACAAAACCTAAATTTGAGGATAAAGAAGAAGAATAACAAATACAAAAACAACAACAATAACACAAAATTTGTACACCTCAACACCATACATGAAAATGATTGTATTTAACTGAAGCTACTAAATTGTGCTATCACTTTGCTTTATAGATTTTACTTGCTGTTTACAATTTTAAAAACATATACAAATAACTGATTAGTTGTTGTCATCAATTTCAATATTTTTTGAACTGATGGTCTGCCATAGGCAAAAACTTTGAAAAAATATATAAAATAAGAGTAACAACTGCCTTAGTGTTGTCATTACCATCGTATATCTCATGGTTCTGCATTTAGTGTTGATTAGACTCAAAACTGAAGTTGAACTTTTTATGCATTAATACATAATCAAGTCTCTTCACACATTGCCAAAATGTCTTGTACTTCTATTATTGAACACCCCAGTCATGGTTCTTTCAAAATAAACATTTTGGGTTTTAAACAGTTACAACTCTGAGACAAGTTTCATGCATAACATGTAAAAAAATTAAAAACTAAAAAAAAATACAGTAACAATAATGTTTAAAAGTTACTTTGCACAGTTTCACATTTGAATTTTTGCACATAAATACAACTATTTTTTGTAGTCAAAGTGAACATTAAGAAAAATCTTTTGAGTTTTAAATATGACTTATGTATTACCAGTAGAAACATGTGTCATTGGGCACCGCAATCCAAGCATATCCATTCATTTCCTTGCTCATCCATGCTCCCTTATTTCCATATTCCCTCATTCCCATGTTCCTCATATTCCCCTCTTTCCCTTCTTTATGGCCAATTAAAAGACTTCTTTGTCACCCAAGTTGTCTTATATAATAGATATTGGATATATTTTGTTAAATGTTTGAAGCAATGTGAATGAATTTTTGTTCACACATCAAATAAAAGTAATATTTTAAAGTAATAAAAGTAAAATTAATAACTAAATAAATCTGAACTTTCCATGGTTGTTATTCATTCAAATTTTAAACACTGAATATTTGTAGCATTTATACACAAATATCAAATGTTAGAAATACCAAAGAAGTAATCTTAATGAACTAGACGTTCATGAAATTTGCAAGATAAATAACCTTTGATGTTTGACAAATTTTTATATTATGACGAATATTTTTTTTATTTCAATGCAACTTTTGTCAAAACTAAATATAATATTAATATTCGTCTATGAACTATCATAGTTATTGGCTCATCCAATTTTCCATTCCATTCTAAATAAATTAGTATCGAGTATAAATAGTTTCACTTTATTGATTGTAACATGTATTTTTTTTTTGAAAATAAAATAAAATATAACAAGGAAAAAAATGTGGAAAACAAAAATAAAATAAAATAAAGGTTTTTTTGTATTTTTAATTACAATGTTCTAAATATTCAACACCATGCAATTGGTCTTTGTGAAAATCTGTAGAAGAACTACATGCTTCAAAGAAACTGACACCAAAAACAACTCTGTATGCATGTCCATGTATCCATGTATGTATTAACTTTGTTTTGCTTGTTGTTGTTGTTGTTTATTTTGTTTTGTTTGTTTGTTGGTGTGCTATTTTTCTTTTTTTTTCTTTTACACTTTGCACCCGAGTAGAACAACATCAACAAAATTGCAATTCAAAACAACAACAATAATGTAATCAATTGCAGCGTTATTATATTTTATTGTTATTTATAGAATTATTGGTTATTAGAAAACCCAAGTAGTAGTGGTTTTGATTTGAGAATATGAATGTTTATCTATGCATAAACTAAACCATGCAAGTGGTTATGTTGGAATTATAATTTTGATAGTATTCAAATAAATAATTAAGTGTAGTCTACCCCATATGAAACTTTTAAGGAATACGGTGATTCGTACATGCATAAGGGGTGGGTGCATGAGGGAGGCCCATGCCATGCCATGATGACATGGACAACAAGAGTGATCCACGCAGCAAATGGAAAAAGGCGGCAAAAAGGTCGGAAAGACGACGTGGCAACCAGGAGGCTGGTAGCCTTCTCCAGGTAGACCAAGGCAATTGGCCCACGTGGCACCTCGTTGAAGTGCCGGTGCCAGGTCAGCAGGCTTTGTTCCTAGGCAGGGTGCTGGTGAGGACCCGCGGTAATGGGTCCATTTTCGGGCAAAGACTGGCCAAAAAGAATATAACAAGTTACAAAAATAAAACGTTGACAGAATTTTTTATAAGATTGCAGTGGTATTTACAATACCCAAAAAAAGAAATGTAAATTTAAGTAATAGAAGAGGTTTTTATTATTGTAATGTTTTCCATCACTAAAGATGAGATTTTCATAATTGGCATATGCATTGCTATCCTATTTGATATAGCCACTTACAAAAATCTAATAATTCAAAAACCATAATGATTTGGGAGGCTATAACTTCATGGAGGAGTATTTTTTGACGCTCAATTCGTGTACAGTTAATTAGTATGTGAATCTCACATGTTAATTCTTGTATAAATTTTTAAGAAGTGGTTTATGATGGCAGCTTTTTTACTTCTTCACCGAATAAATTCAGTATTTTCCTGCGCGCTTCAAAATAATTGTGATAAATTGGTAACATTTTAAACATTTTATCTGTAGATAGCTACCATTGATAATATTCATCCTTGTCAATCTCAGTCAGTGATGGAAATTAGGTCATCCGTAGAGAGGGAACAGTTAGTTACAAGCAGAGGAGTATTGCAAACTTGCTGGGTCTGTCATCCATGTCCCATCACTCGTGTTAGTATGTGATTGGAGAGTGTTGAGATCCCAGAATACTTATCGAGAGTTTTGGGATTTAGGTAGAAAAATCACTTTTGGGATCTCATAACCTTGGGAGCTTTGAGGACTTAATAGCCACTACTTAGACATGTTTTATGAAAAGTTACTGAGTGATAAGATAATAGAAAAGGCAAATTCATTCCAAAAATTGAAACAATATGGTTAAATCTACCTTCGGATGATTTTGTTTCAAATTATGACTACTGGAACAATATATATATATATATATATATATATGAACTATAAAATGTTAATCAACTATAAAACAGGATGCTTAAAGAGTTGATTTAATATTATAATTTTAGTATATGTTGTTTATATACTGAGAATCAACTTGCATATTTTTCATTCATGTATACATGCATACATACACACACACTTGAAATCAAAACACATTGTCTTAACTCATTAGCTGTATTATTTTGTACATGATGATTAATAAATGTTCATAAGATGACATATCTTATTCATATTCTCTCATAGCTAATAGTATATATATATATATATATATATATATATACACATTAATACATATATATTACTGTCTGAAAGATAGACCAATAAGAGAGAAGAAATTATTAACAAATAAGTCCATTGATTGGAGGAAGGTTTACTAAAATTTAAATGTTTTGTTTGTTTTAAAAAACTTAATCAATCATAAAATGAAATTAATGTTTTCATAATATTTGTATTTGATGAACTTATTTTTATTTGAATGGAAACTTCCAACCTTTTGAAGTTTATAACATCACTAATATTAATAGTTACACTTCATTGTTGTATTTTTAGATGTTTTACATAACTTATATTAAATAGTACATAAAGTTGTGTTTTGCATTAAATGTATACTGGATTTTTTTTTTTTTTGAAGTGAATAGTTTTTATTTTAGATGGAAACATTTGAGGAAATTGAATTGACATCAAAGACCTGTATTACAATGTACTGCTTCTGACCAAGCATATGACAGAGATGTTGAAGTTGCTATGAATTGAAAATCAATGTTAGATCACCACTAACCTCAATCTGTTTACCAACAGCATAAATAGATAAATAAGAGAGAACATATGCTGGAAGGTTACATTTGCCATATAAACCAAGTTTGGTAGGAGTTTTCCTTTTTGGTATTCCAAAAAAACAAAGTTTTTAGTTAATGTCCATTGTATATTACAATATCCATATAATATTTTTTTATGTGTTTGTATTTACATCTTTACACAGTGTTATGATATATATATATATATATATATATATATGATAAATTAAACTAACGGAATGAAAGAAATAAGCATTAAAAATTGAAGTGACATTCCTCTGTAATGTTTATTTATCCTATGTTATGTAACAAAATCCACAGACCCGTTTGTTTGTTTATTTCATTCTCAGTTCTCAAACTGGATCATAAAAGTATGTACACGTGATTTTCTTTTTTTCCCTTTTTGTTTGTAATATACAATATTGAATTTCATCACTCAGTGTAGGAGCAAAGGATGAATCTACAAACAGCTTCTGAAGATGACAAACATTGCCACTCATGGAATCAATTGTTTAATCACAATCAGAACTGTTGTCCATAACTTCAAAACCAAATAAATAATTAAGGAAAAGTAGATAAAATTGGTTGAATGCATGGAAACCAACTTTACATGATATTGTACTAACTTTCCATTAAATCAACAAAAATATAATGAAAGTGAAATTTGAAATCAAATGCAAAGAGGTGAAAATTCAGAGTGACACCTGCAGGAAGAGAAACCAAGGAGAGGAATGTGCTGACATGGCTCATCCACGTCAGCAGTCTCACAACCTGTGCACATCAACCTGGAACGTTCACTCCTTTTTGGCTGCCAGAGTGAAATGGCAAAGGGGAGATGGATCCACACATCGGTCAAAAAATCCCTTCAGATGCCATTCCCCTCCAGGGAACCCTTTTCCCTCTGCACAGCTGATACTAAGGAACCAGATCCCTTCTTTCTCTATTCCCACCGCACGACTGACCGTTCATGGGGGAACCAGATCCCTTCTTCCTGTGGTAGGAAATCCTTTTCGCTCAGCAGCATATCAGTTCGCGGGGGGTCCTCCCCGCCGCCCGATGGGTTCTCGCTCCCCCATCACCAGAAATCTCTTGAAATCACATGCACTGTTTTAAAGTCAAGACACACTTAATGCTCTCTGTGGTTTCTGCCGAATAAAGTAAACCTCTTTTAAAAGTAGAGGGAGAAAGGCGATCTTTACTGGGGGCATCCAGAATGGGCGGGGGGGGGAGAGAGGTTGCTGCTCTCTGCTTAGAATGATTGGCTTGGGCAGCTTCAATCTGTGTGGAAAAATTCGGAAAAAATTAGAAAGGGGTCTTTGGAAGCCATCATGGACTGGGTTAATGACTGGGTTCCTGCCATTCCACCAACTTGGGTCAGACTGCAAGGCTTTCCTTACTTAAGTTGTGGTAAGAGCTTTCGCCTTTTTCAGAGGAATCTACTTTCTCACCAAGGCATGCAATCCCGGGCAGCTGACCCTTCAAAAGGTATAAGTTTGGGCAGAGTGAAATTACCCCTTCAACTATAATGGCCCTTTCCCCTTGAGCCCAATGAGTAGGAATTTGATGTACACTCTAGCAGTGGAGAGTGCCCACCCATTCAGTTGTACAAACATGCTGTTTGAAGTCAAGAGTGAATTAGCTTTTACAGTGCATTATATTGCTCTGTTTGCCAGAGAAGCAGATCCTATCTGTATAACAAGGAGATGAATCCATGTCTACTCTTGGCGACACATGTGCTTTCTCCAATTCCATGAAGGGATTGGTGAGACCCATTATATCATTTTTTCATAGCCATGTGGTTCTGAGGTGGTAGTAATAAATGTGTAACACATGACTCAAATCTTAGCTACCTCCTCCTTCTTATTTGGATAATTTCTTAACTTATTATATGTAATTTTTGTTATGTTTTTTTTTACCTTTTTAATTTTTTGAAATCATGTGCAGAAACAACCTGAACCCTGATTGCTTCTTGCAACAGCTAATAATTGCCAAGAATATAGAATCAACACATCATATGATAATGTGATGTTTGGCATGTGTAACTAACTTAGGAGTGCATGTTTTGAATGAGAAAAAAACATATTTATGTTAGGGTGAGTATAAATACTTTGTTAGAGAGAGTACACAACATATCAATACGTTTCAAACGATGATATACAAATGTTCTACCATGAAAGAATCCCAACGTTGTTTCAAAGAGCTCAATGGTTTTGGCAAGGAAGAAGGAAAGAAGGAAATCGAAAGAAACAACCAATTCACGAAGAAAGTGTTACGAATGAGGGGAAGTCGAGGAGGAGGAGCAGGATGCCATGCCACACGTTCCATTAGCTGACACTGCCACGTAGGCAGGGAACAACACGGGAACGGGGCGGTCCTTTTTACTTACCTACCAGCCTGAGCCAGAGGGGTAGCAAGCAGTGCATCGGATTGGCAGGTCGAAGTGAGGGGGCCAACGAGGGTGGAGCAGGGAAACCAGGGTGTGGGCTGGAAACTGGGCCGGCCGACCCGGGCTTGGCGGCGCGGGTGCGATCCGGGCCTCTGCTTGATGATGGGTGGGCGTTAATCTGGAACGCTAAGCCAGCAGTCTTAGCTCGTCCATCTGTTGCTGTGTGCTCCCCCTTCACCCGTCCTCCCCCTCCCTGCTCTTCATTCGGTATGTATACTCTCGCGTACTAGCTTCTCTGTAGCTCCACGGTTGCTGTTCTCGTGAGTCCTTCTCTCATCTTCACGTCTGTAGTCACGCCCGCTTCGGCTTGCTTCGTTGCTTTTCGTCGCTCCCAGGTGCGGTTTGCGAGGCGGTTTTGCAAAGGATTTTGTTGTTGGATGCCAGGATTTGGATTGTGAGGCCGGAGACCTTTTTTTTCAGTTATATTATTAGTAGTATTATCATTTTAAAGATATTGCGAGAGTTTGTGAGAATCTGCGTTGCGGTGGATTTGTAGTGGTGGTGTTGGGAGTGTTGAGGAACGATAGATCGGCTTAAGTGAAGAGGTTGACGAGACGCGGTGGTGGTGTGGAGAGTGAGAAGAGAGAGAGAGAGAGAGAGAGAGAGAGAGAGAGTTGGCGTGAGAGGGAAGAAGGAGGAGGTGCTGTATGTCTGATAGCGGAGCAGGAGTGGGGAAGGACAAGGTAGGAGGAGCAGCGCTCTCTAAACCCTGTCAATGGCCCCACGTGAGAGCGCGCAGACGCTTTGCTGCCACTCGCCCGCCTCTTCTGATATGGATACGTCCCCTGAATCAACCGGGAGTGGAGCAGGAACAGTGGGAAAAACTTCAGAGACGAGGAGCAGCGGAGGGAACCCGGGCTCACTGGAGCCTGCGCCTGCATCTGGAGAGGTAGACATGCTCGGGGACAATTGCGCGCATCTCGATCATCAGCCGGAGCCTTACCTGCCCAGCACCAAGGGCAGTGCCACGTTTGGATCGCTGGATTCTGCGTCGGCCGTCGCCGGCACTGTTAAAGGTGGTGATGTCTAAAGATTGCTCTTTTGTTGTGTATATTTTTGCACGGCGCCTAAACGTGTCGTTCAATTGGTGGCATCCAATTTCTGTGGACTCGGTGGAGATTTCAGGGTTGGCGTTTTGCTGCATCGCCCTGCTTCTCTACCGGGCGCCACAGATTCCTACGTCGACATTTTGATTGCCTTGGAACCGAGTAGAGGAAGATACTAGGTGTTGCTCTCCTCTCTTGGTCTGCATACCTTTCTGCATGCTCTAGGCGGATTTGTTGAAATCGAAATCAGAGTTGCGAAATTTGCTTGTCTTTTTATACACTATTTAGCAGCTTCAAAGTGGTTTTTCTTAGAACTCCTTAGGTTAGCAAGTCTAAGTACAATTTTTTCTAGTCTTTCATGCGTTGTAGTTGTTCAAAAAATGTACTGTTGTCAGCAGAACCATTACTAACTGATGCACACGCCGCCAAATTTACGCTCGTTTGTCAACCGCCCTTAGATCTGTTTTCATTTTATGGCAGGACCTGGAGTACTAGTTCTTCGCTCGCAGTCAGCGCACCCCTTGGATCCGCTGACTCCGACGGAGATTGCCGTAGCCATAGCCACAGTCAGGGCGGCAGGTGCCACACCAGAAGTACGCACTCTCCCTCACACACTTGTCTTTCAAGGTTCTTGTGATTTTGTTTCAATGCGCATGACTATTCTTGCCACGCGCGTACCACAGCGCAATGCTGCGGCGGAAAGTACTTCCGTGTACGTACATGGGAACTTCTGCTGTTGATTCCGTAATCTAGGAATTTTCTACACCAATTCGAACAAATTTATATTAAGTTCAGAGTGTAGTCTCTGTGTTTGGCCGCAAGCACTTCATGCATGGCGGGGTTGGAGGCTAATGCGAAGTAATCTATTCACCTGTTTACTGTTGAGACATATTTTCAGATCCCAGAAGATAGGTGTCGGTGGCGCGATCTTAGAATCTCATTTAAAAAATACTTATATATTTTTGTCGTACCTTTGGTGTTCTTATGCACGTGATCTATGCATGAACACGGATTCCTTGGAGCGGGATTTCTAAGTCCATTAACAGAATTTGGACTTGTGGAATGCAGGTCCGCGATGGAATGCGTTTTGTGGAGGTTGTTCTGAACGAGCCGGACAAGAACGTCGTCGCTTTGGCCGATGCTTACTTCTTCCCTCCCTATCAGCCGACGCTGTACCGTCCAAAAGCCAAAGGAGGTGCTATGTACCCTTTGCAACTGCCTCCTCGGCAAGCCAGATTGGTTGTGTACAACAAGAGGACCAATCAGACCAGTATCTGGATGGTAGAGCTCAGCGAAGTGCACGCAACCGCACGCGGTGGTCATCACCGCGGTAAGGTGCTGACGTCGGAAGTGGTGCCGGATGTCCAACCACCCATGGTGAGCTCACACTCTTGTGAATTGCTCCTAATTTGGAGGATGTGTTTAGCTGGTACCTTGAGCTTGATTTTTAATTAGTGTCGAATTAGACGGTTGGTAAATACAGAGGATTTAGATAAGTTGAGAAAATTTTGTTTTAGCTTCATACGTTTTTACTGATTGACTTGGGACACGGAGATCAGGATGCCATGGAATATGCGGAATGCGAGGCTGTAGTAAAGGAGTATCCCCCCTTTGTGGAAGCTATGAAGAAGCGCGGCATCGAAGATATGGACCTTGTCATGGTGGACCCCTGGTATGCGCCTTCCATTTTGCAGCGCTCGTGGTTGTGGTAATCTCTGGTTATATAAGCAAATATGAGTGGTTTGGCTATGATACCAACATTTCAAATGCTCTCGTCTGTAGGTGTGTTGGTTATTACGGAGAGGAAGACTCTCCAAGTCGTCGACTCGGCAGGCCATTAATCTTTTGTCGAACCGAGAGTGATTGTCCACTGGAGAACGGCTACGCGCGGCCTGTAGAGGGAATCCATGTGTTGGTAGACATGCGGCAGATGCAGGTCATTGAGTTTGAAGACCGTAATTTTGTGCCACTGCCACCCCCGGATCCCTTGCGCAACTACACTCCAGCTGCTACTCGCGGTGGAGTTGATCGAACTGATATTAAGCCCTTACTTATCACGCAGCCGGAAGGACCCAGCTTTCGAGTTAATGGTCACGCAGTGGAGTGGCAGAAGGTTGTTTAAATTTTGCGTGCTACTTTCCACTGATACTTTGATGTTAGAAAATAGTACTTTTTCTCATTGGTGTCGAATTGTATGCTTTTAGAAAGCTGCGTCTAGTCTAACACCCTTTTAAAGAAGTTGATAAGATTCCTCGAGTCTGATCAGTTTTTCAATTGTTTTGTTTGAGCAGTGGAATTTTCGTGTGGGTTTTACACCTCGAGAAGGATTGGTCATTCACACAGTTGCCTACTGCGATGGCAGTCGCGGCAGGCGCTCTGTGGCACATCGCTTGAGTTTCGTAGAAATGGTTGTGCCCTATGGAGACCCACATGACCCACATTACCGAAAGAATGCTTTTGACGCCGGAGAAGATGGACTTGGCAGGAACGCCCACTCTCTGAAGCGGGTGAATGATTCTCACAACGTTCACTTCTTGGGTTCATGTGTTCTATCTTACGCAATAGTGCGATCAAGTCTGTTGTATTGACAAAACAAACGTTGTGAACTCTGCAGGGTTGTGATTGTCTTGGCCACATAAAGTACTTCGACGCTCACTTCACGAATTTTCTGGGAGGTGTGGAGACAATAGAGAATTGTGTGTGTATGCATGAGGAGGACCATGGCATACTATGGAAACATCAAGACTGGCGAACAGGAATGACAGAAGTGCGGCGGTCGCGTAGACTCACGGTGTCTTTCTTTTGTACTGTAGCCAATTACGAGTACGGTTTCTTCTGGCACTTTTATCAGGATGGGCACATTGAGGCTGAGGTCAAGCTCACAGGGATCTTGAGTTTAGGGGCGTTGAAGGCCGATGAAAATCGCAGACAAGGCACTGTAATTGCGCCTGGGTTATATGCCCCTGTACACCAACACTTCTTCGTGGCGCGTCTGGACATGGCAGTGGATTGTAATCCTGGCGAAGGATTGAACCAGGTACGTGTCGTCAAGTTCATTTCCTATTACCTCACAAGCTCCCAGGGTTTCATGTGTAAATTTTGAGCTTGATTTCAGAATATAATAAGCAATTACAAAAAAAGGGACCTGACAACTAAGCTTCTCGTTGACACAGGTCGTGGAGGTAAACATGAAGGTTGAAGAGCCTGGACCTGAGAATCCACATAATAATGCCTTCTATGCTGAAGAGACGCTTCTGCGCTCAGAGCTGCAGGCACAGCGTGATTGTAATGCACTGTCTCATCGCCATTGGATTGTAAGATCACGCCCACTGAAATTTGCCTGGTTCCACTAAGATCTGTAGCCAAGTTTTAGCTTCCATTTAGCGAGAAGGGCTGAGTTGTGGATCGGCAGTTGAAGAATGGTATTAGAGTGCAAACTAACAGGTGCTCAATTGTGCAGGTACGAAATACTAGGACATTCAATCGAACAGGCCAGTTAACAGGATACAAGCTCATGCCAGGCCGGAATTGTCTGCCTCTAGCTGGCCCTGATGCGAAGTTTTTGAGACGTGCTGCTTTTCTGAACCATAATCTTTGGGTCACGGAGTACAAACATGATGAATGTTTTCCAGGTGGGGAGTTCCCAAATCAAAACCCTCGAATAGGGGAAGGGCTTCCGACTTGGGTGAAGCAGGATCGTAAGCTGGAGGAAACCGATATTGTACTCTGGTAAACTTTTGACCTGAAATTTAGTGGTAATATTGGGGTTTTTAAAGAACAGAATGGTATATTTCCACTGAGTATCATTAGAAGTCACGAGTGTTATTATGACTCGAAGTAAGTAGGTTTTCTTCAGCTCGATCTAAGGATATTTCTTGACTAAAATTGCAGGTATGTCTTTGGTGTGACTCATGTGCCTCGACTTGAGGATTGGCCTGTAATGCCTGTGGAGCACGTTGGTTTCAACCTTCTGGTTAGTCCCTACCTTGTCCTACGCTTCACTTGAAGTACTTCACCACCGTAGAGTTCAATTCTAGTTTTAGCTTTAAGCATAGTGAGTGGTTGACAGGGCGGTTTCTTTCCTATGTCAACGAGGCTCTAATATGTTCGTTTTAGCAACCTCTACATTCTTACTTCTACAGTAGATCAATTTGTCTAGCAGAGTTAGAGTTGAGCAATGCATAGGTTGATGTCTCTGATTCTCCGTAGCTCTTAGACTCATCTAGGTGTTGTATCTTTTTCTGACTCCAAAATGCTGTTATGCCGCAGCCTCATGGGTTTTTCAACTGTTCCCCAGCCGTTGATGTGCCACCTAGTGAGGCAGCTGTTGAGGGAGTTGTCATCAAGGAAGCGCCTGCCAAAGGAGTAGAACCTACAGATTCTATGCAACCGACGCTGCTGTCTAAGTTATAGAAGCAGGAACCATGTACTATGGGGTTCTCGCCGTTAAGCTAACACCCACGTAGATAGTTCTGGACGCATTGGCCTCTCAATATTTGAATGGTGCATGGTCACTTAGACCGCTTGCTTCTGAGATGAGTCTGCAAATTGTGACTTGCTAGGAAGGCAAATTGTTTAGATGCCATAATACTGCCCTAGATTGACTACATTTAGACTTGCACTAGTGGGGTCACCTCATCAATGGCAGAATTGCAGCTTGTTTCCAATGCAACGGTTCTTGCATGTATCTGTACAAAGTGAGACACAAGAAGTGAGTAAAACGGTGTACCCGTCTCTTTTGCTGCAAAATATTTATATGTTTTTCTCTTTCGACATTTTGCTTACCAGCGCATTCTACATCTATTTTAAGATTTCGAACAGAGGACGTTTATCATGGATGAATAACAGGCATATAACCTTGGTCTCCTCATCTTGACATACGTGTTGTACCAGAGTTTATTCATTTGAGTTATATAACTGAATCATATACAGTTCGTAAAAGAGGATTACATGTATATAAATGTGCAGAAATGAATTCCAGTGAAGACATTGATAAAGTGATTCTTTACTTTTCAACAATTTTGGATCAGTTTGCCATTTCAACTAACTTGTCAAAGTACGGGTACGATAGTACTTTCAGATTTAGTCTTTTCTTGTTGCTGTAATCTCGTGTGTTCTTCTGAAAAGTTGTACATCTTTCTGTGCTCATTGGCACACTACGATAAATCAATGGTAAGATTAATTGTCAAAGTTTTGAACTTTGGAACACACAAACATTCTACAACTGCATCTCAAGGAAACAAATTCGTTGATTGGTACAAACCAACTGTCACGTTCCTAACAAGTTGATAGTACAATAGTACAAACATTAATACAAACACTAAAATAAAAGCGAACAAGTACATGGATATCATCTGATACTAGCCTCAATCTCAGAAGGTGGATGTTGGATAGCAAAAGATATAATGATAACATTCACAATAACTCTGCTGATTCAAAGTAAATTGGGTAAATCCAACATATTTCACTGTATGAATGCCGTCAATTCTTATTAGTTCCATTTGACTTTAATGCCCACATTGATCTATCATACGATGCAATACTGTTAGTCCGAGTAATAACTATAACGCTAATATAAATATATCACAAGCACCAAATAGCACAAGCAGTCACAAGAGTATCATGGATGTTACCAGTCCGCTACTTTTCATAAAAGGTTCTCTTCAACTGTAGCAAATTTTGTACTTACAGATGATGTGATAATATTTTATTTTGCTGAATACATAATGACTAATAGTGGATGTTTTGCTACTGAGGAGCTTCACCTTCAATACATCTGATTATGATTTGAGTTACAGTGATTCCGTCGGAGATTGGAAGGGCATTGCACAACCACAAGCATTTCGAGAGGACAGCTAAGTGGATTGGACAGCAATGTAGGGACTCACCAAGTCAGGGGGAAGAGAAGGCTATTGCAACGTGGGTCATGCATGTAATCTAACCTTGTTAGCGACAAGAACGAAGAATGAGCAGATGGTGCTTTTTCTTCATCCAGCATGCTTGCTGCAATCTCAGACTGCCAGTTCCGCGAGTACCATGTGCTGATCTGATAAGCTCTGGGGCTTCAGCAATGCCTCGTCATGGGGCACCTTTACACAAACAGCCTAGAGAACGTAGTTCATAACTGTCGGAAACCAACGGGTATTTGAAGCTGACACTGTACACAAAGATTTCAATCCCTCGTGTCGTAATGTCGTAGAGATCCACGAGAAAGGTGATAAGTTGGGAACACCGCCCACAGTGGGACCGTTTTCATGCCTCCAATCAAAAGTATCGCATTGAAGGCTAACCTTTTGAAGATTTTATATCGACAGAAAGCTGTAGAACCTTTCTGTTGATATATTCCCAAACCAATTTCGTGACTTGGCCTTAGCTTGAAAAGGATAAAAAGGCGCTTTCCAATACCATCAACAACTTCGATGTTACAAAGTTTTTTGAAATAACTCAATTGTTTTTCTCTGGACTCTTTGCACACGATACAATATGAAAATGTGGCAACTGAAAGCACGTTTTAGTGGTCTTCGCCTCTCTGTTTCAGTAAAAATTAGCTAGTCACTTCTAACGAGTTGATGGCGTCTGCTTCAAAGGCAGCTCACGGTTTTTCTAGAAAAGATAAAAGGGCAAAAAGGAAAAAAGAGAGCTGATGTAGCCCAGGATGACAACGAGCTTCGCCCAACCTGTCAGATTCTCCGGACAGTCTAGTAGTACTCTGCCTGTTTCTGATTTGTCTCTTGCTGCAAATTTGAAGTATAAAACATTAGACTTCAGCTGAACAACACTTCAGCATCTCCAGGCATGAGTAATGAACATCACTCAAAGTGTTGACCCATACAAATGAATATTTTTCGAAATTACTAAAGAGATTTCTGTGACGAACACCAGGACTTTCAAGATTTGCATCAAATTCACCTCGAAGGTAGCTTTAAGGTGGTCTAGCTCCTTCGTCAGATCAGTGATGGCCAAATTATAAGCCTGCATTGGGGAAGACTGACTATTCGTTTGAATCTGTGATAACCACAAGAGAAATCATTCACGCCCTAAAAAACCTCGGTGAAATAAAGCAAAATTTCTTAATTTAACAAGGAAGCGCAGGAGATGAATGTACGGTATTAACTTCTTTAAACCCCGAACACCGACATGCATGAGATAGGAAAAGATAGCGGTAGAGAAAACAAGTCTCACCTTCACCACAACCCTGTATTGAAGAGGGTGAGGCAGTTTGTAACCTGCGAACAACACACTGGGGTCGCGGTGCAGCTGCCTGTTCTCATATCACAGTCCACAATTAAATAATTCTCGTTTTAGAAGCCGCATCAGCTCCTGCAATTGCATTCTTAAAGAAATATTTATCAGTTCTAGCTCTGCATGGCTTGTTTCAGTAAAATCCTTACGTCTCTTCATAACCCTCACGCCTCATCCATGAGTCATAACAAAAGCTCGTTAACAATAATCTCAAGAACGACGCTCATACATGCGGAGGATGTTTCCGATGGTGTGATCCTCTCGCTGCAGGGTAAAAGTGGCGGCATTCATCACCTTCATATCCCTCTCGTAGGCCACCCTGCATGCACACAACATTGCAACACCCTTCCCCATTTAAAATCACACAATCAACGTCGAGTATCAGACAACAGCCGTCGAGGCCAGCTTTTAAGTTTTTCTTTCGCCTCCTCAAAGTGATTCAATTACACGTTAACAGAAGCACCATGGAAACTCATGGCAACTCATGGCCAAAACAACATGCGCAGTGTCTACGTACTTCTTCATGCCTTCGGGCACAACGAAGCGCTCATAGCGATCGGGAGCATTCATCTTGCCACAAGGCAATCTGCCGTCCAAACGCAATTGAACCTGCAAAGCTATTGTTTGTGTGATACTGAAATCGCGCAGCAACTGGAGCGGTGAGCACGGATTCCGTCCACAATATGAGAGAGGGCCTAAAACCCTAAATAGCACAAGATGTTGCATGAGCGCCCGTCTTATGCGTCTGCATGGCTGAGCACCTCCTTCGAGAAGCTTCGGCTGAGAAACTGCAGTAAGGCTGATTTGGCATCTTTCGTAATTCTACGTGTTCTGATGTGCATGTTCTTTCTTTCTAGATTTTCCAAAAGGTATTAGTATTTTCAATTATTTCACTGAGAGTTTACTTTACTTCTCTTTAGTTTGGCGTTTGTATGATTTTTAAATTTATCATTGAATGATGTTCTCTGGCTTTTGAAAAATTCCGACCACATTGTGTGAAGTTATTTATGTTTGGGTTATAATTATTGAAGGGGAATGTTTTAATCAAGCATTTGGCATTTTTTTAGAAATTGGTAAAATGATTTTTTTAGTATGATGTTTTTTGCAATACTCATTACTTTTACATTATTTTTATATTGTAAAATAAGTAGGAATGAAAATTGAAGCCAAGCCTAGAAGAGAGATATAGATGTGTGTACATGTATAGATATTTTTATTTTGGTACATCTATTATATCCATTTATGCATTGATCAATGTGTCTACATTAATTTTTTTTTGTAGTGATCTAAAGTGCTATTAATTTTTAATGTCTTATTGATCAAGTTTTATATATATATATATATATATATATATATATAAAGTAAAGATACATGTATATACATATACATATATATATATATATATTATTTATTTGTGATATATATATATATATATAAAGTAAAGATACATGTGTGTATATATATATATATATATATATAATATGCAACTAGATGGATGTTGAGTTTATAAAATTTTGATTCATATATTAGTTAGTGTCTACTAGAGAACTAATTACACCATTAAATTGGTTAAAAATAAAGTGAGATATGAAGATAATATTCTAATATAATAGTTTAAATATTAAAATTTATTTTAAAAATGTTTGAGGATTAGTTTTATTTCTGATTGTGGTTTTATTATTTTTTTCAATATATATTTTAAAATTTTATTAACAAAATTCATGCAAATTCATTCCTTGGATAAAATTCTGTTTTTCTTTGTTTTATTTGTCTAAATATAATTTACATCAATATTGTGCAATAGAATTATGCTAACATTACTATCAAAATCTAGTAATTGATATGCATTACTCAACTTACAAAAGAAGTTATATTTTAAAATTTATATTTTAAAATTTATTAACCAAAAATAATAATTAATTTCAAAGGTATAATTGCTTACATATTTAATATTTTTGAGATGACATTACATAATTACATTATTTAATCAAATTTATGACAATCATTGCCTTACTATCTACTAACTATTCTTACTTTGTATTTTATTAATTTAATGTTATTATTATTATTAATATATAAACAAATTCAATCAAATCTTTTAATTAGGTAATTTATTTATTTATTCACTAATGTATATATTTCTTTATTATAAAATTAGCAATAGAGATTTTAAATCTCCTAGTTCAAGGTATTTTGAATTGTAGTTATTATTTTATATATGACTAATCAACTATTATTATAAAATTATAGATTTTTTGTATCAAATTTGAACTAAATCCATGTAATACATATCTACACACAGGTGCACAATAAATAATCAAGAAGTAACAAAGGATAGAAAAAGAAAAGAAAATAAAAGAACAAAAAAGAACAGAAAAATAAGTAATTGTGGTAACATAACAATGTAACAATGAACCTAAGTAGCACTAGAGGCTATTAGAGTAAGAAAATTGCATGAATAAAGAAGATTAGAGAATTGAGAAGTCAACAAGAGATAATGAATAGTGAACATAGAAACAATTGGAGAATGTAACTTGCTATAAAGATATAAAAAAGATGAAGTATAATTTTAGGAAAATATCAAATATAAGGCATAAAAAATGAGCCAGAAAGTTATTGACTCCACCTAAAACTGCCCTCTTTGGTAGTCTTTTTTTATTTATAGTAAGAACCAAATTTACTATGGATAAAATAAAAGATGATGAAGACAAATATATGTATAAATATATATTTAAGGGAATGATAAAACGACTCAAATATTTACTAAATTGACCCACATGTTTAAACCATCATTGTACCCTTTCAACCGCATCCCCATTTCCAACTGTTCCCCCTACTCCCAACCATAGCTAAGGATGGAGTGGGGGGCTAGGAATGTTGGAAATGGGGCAATGGTTGGGAACAATTATTCATGGTTATGAATGGAGATAATGTTGAAAGGGTACAATGATGATTTAAACATGTGGATAAATTTAGTAAAAATTTGGATTGCTTTATCATTTCTCTATATATATAGGAGAATGTTAAATAGATTGAGGCTTTTATTAAATTGACCCACCCATCCTCAGCATGATGATATATATATATATATATATATCTCTAGATTCAATTCTCCACCACTAGATCCAAAACCAATGAAAACCAACCACATTCATTACGATTACCATATTCTTCATCATGGGTAGGTAAATTTAATAAAAACTTGGGTCTATTTAACATTCTCCATTAAAAAAAAAAAATCATTTCAATACAATGGAATGATTCATGAAATATATCAACAACTTTTTGATTTGCTTTTTTAACCATTAACCATTGATCACATGGACTTTCTCATAGCATTTTTTCCATACTATTCTCCTTCTCTCCTGAACATTTTTCCAACCTCAACAATTAACTGTGAAATAGCCTTGCCTTTGAAGAGAAAGGTCAACGCAACAGTGGCTCCATGAAGGGCTCGCCTCAGGATCAGGAGCTGGGGCCATGGCGGCGAATTGCTGATCCTGCACGGCGGAGCTGAATCGTGTTGCAACGACACTATACCGAATTAGAATTGCAAAACTTCGCCGTAACTCTGCTGGAGTTATGAAGATCTTCACGGTCGAGATCGTATTGTTTGAACGCTTTGCGTTGGGTTATTTAAAGATGGGTCTAATCGTTCAATCCTGCATAGAGGGGATTGATTCTACACTGATCCAGAAACTAGGTCGCTGTTTGTTTTTTTGTTTTTTATGTTTTATGTTTAATGTTTAATGTTTTTTTTTTTTTTTTTTTATTCATGCCGTGCTGATTATTTTGTGACAACGCCTTGGCGAAGTTCTTGAAGGGATAGGTTCATTCAGTACCGGGAGTTACTTACGACCCATTCTATCTAAAACAGGATTCTTATTGTAAATGAAAACGCCACTTGGTTTGATAGTGGATTTAGTGAACTGAAGATATTTTCCGATTCTGTTGAGCTGGTGGAGTGTGCACGTTTTTTTTTTTTTTTGAGCTATGAGCCATAAGCTTTGAGCTATGGTGGCGGGGCTGGGTAACGGATTCCTATCGTCCTCGAATGATTTACTCAATGAACCCAAGAATGTCTGTACCAGCAAGCCTAGGATTGGAGACAAGTCGCTGCAAACCCTGATTCCCATCCAATGGATTCACGCTCAGCTTCGCGTGTAACAACTAATTTATTTCTCATCGGTCTCACCACCAACATTTGCAGTGAGCAATAGCATCAAGAAGCTTGTGAGAACACAATTTCATGGGCTTTAAGCTTAACCAATTGTCGTTAGGAGCAGGTTCCTTTTTTACGCTCGCATCAATCAGCAAGAGGAGGTGCACCATTACTGGATTTACGAGAACCAGGAAACAAGGCAATGTTTGATGGACGACATCCCCGAAACTAATGCTCACCTTATTGGCATCGAGTACATAATCTCGTAGAATCTTTTCATCGATACACCTGATGAAGAACCTTCTGGCATATCCTTGATTACGAAATCAAAGCGGGCAATCTCTTCACTGCCGGAGTTCCTGCGTTGGCTCAAAACAAGGAGCTCTACGAGGAGCAGGTTCTTTTCCTCATAATTAGCTGCAAAATGGATCAATTCACCTCGTGTGAGTGTGCATCCATTTTACAGTACACTGGATATGGCCATTTCGGGATATTCTCGTGCCAGGTTTCGAAACCGTATTACAAAGAGTCTCTCTTCTGGCAGTCTGACCGTGTCGACACCCTATCGGTAGGTTTACCGCGGCTGATGATGTTCACTGAGGATGACCAGCTGAATCTCGATCTTCTACCAAGTAAGCAGCAAGTAAAACCTTCCACTCCGCCGACATGAAATCTTATGCTTCAAAAGGTTAACTTATAATTGTTCTTCTTTCTCTTTTCATGCTGCGATATGAATGTGGAGAAGCGGTTTGGTGTAAGCTTCATGCCCAACCAAGAGAATCGATAATGTTTCGCAGGGCCTTTCACGGGCTCATCCGAGGTTGAAACCAAACCTCTGTGATCTCAAAGAAAAGCTCTGAAGGTCAGTGGGAGATGTTCTGCCACAAGTCAAAATGCCACACGGATCATGAAGCTCACAGCAAGTTACAACATCCCCCAGGTCTACCACTCAGCACAATTGGGTTATATTGCATGTTGGCGGAAGACCAAAGCGAAGAGAACGGCACTCTTTTGTGAAATTTATGTACAGGGAGCACCAGAGTATTGTGGAGCTCACGATACCTTAGCCCTACCACCAATGCTGCAACACTGGCACAACCTAGTGTAGGAAACACAAAGGCTGGTGGTCTTTGTATCTGGTTAGGTGTTCACACAGGATCCAGACCTTGGATCCATATCCTGAGGCTGCTGCTGTTGAACACAAACGCTGCAACAAACGCTCATGCTCAAATGCAGCTGTGTGTAACTTCAACACAGGATCATGAGTCGGCACTGATGTGTGCAAGAGCCCTGAGACCCACCTCACAGGTGATGGAGCCAAGGCATCCAGCTAGCTGCAACTTCTGCACTGGATCAATGCTGATTTTCACATTGCATTGAGCAGGGTTGAAGCCAAGAACATGAATTGACTCTGATGTGGTCCCAGGGACGATTGTACCAGGTTGGGAGTTCGTTTAGTTTGGGATTTTTTTTATATAGGGACAGGAATGTTAAATCAACTCCACCGGCTGTTAATTTGATCCATCCATCATCATCAGAATGACGGGAAAATACATCATTATCCAATGAGTGCAGTACC